TTTTTTTTTTTTTTTTTTTTTCTGTTTGAGTTCTGGTTTCCTTTTTGAAGACTATTTTTGGGAAAAAAGCCAAGGAATATTCATATAAGTTGAATAGATTCAATGAATTCAGAATTTTATTTTATGGCTTTTGGTTTCCTATTCTTTGGTCAAACATTTGGTATATGAACCCACTAACCCGACTAATTTTGATTCGCGTCTTAAAATCTTACTGTGGAAGATTTAAGTGTTCTTTACAAAGAGGACTTCATTGTCATAATTCGAACTTGAAACTTTTGATTACGATGTAAAAGAATTTTTATCATTCCAACTAGGGCGGTTCGGTTTGGATCGATTTTTCCTTAAAAAGAAACCAAATCAAGTAAGTTGGTTTTTCAAATATTAGAACCAAACCAAACCAATTAAGTCGGTTTTTTCTCGATTCGGTTTATGTCGGATTTTATCGGTTTTTCATGTTTTTTTTGGTTATTTGTCGGTTTTTTCTTAAATATAAGACATACACTACCAAACATATATTCCGGCGACCACATTTTCAACGTAACACTATCAAATCAATTGCCCTTTGAGAAATTTATTATTTACTAAAATATATTGATGATAATTGAATCAAATAGTGATGAGTAATTTAACGACTCAATTTAAAAAATATTTTTTTTAACATAAAATGGATTCTTACACTTAACAAAAGAAAACTACCAATCAAACTAGAATATAAAGGTAAAGAACTGTACTAAAAGTGCAAACAATTAACATTTACCATAAATTTTTGAAATTTTCTATAAAAATATACATATATATAGGTGTAATAATAAATTTGAAATAGCTACTCCTATAGTCGGTTTGGTTCGGTTTTTTTCGGTTATTTTTTTATTAAAATCAAAACCAAACCAAATTTGATCGGTTTTTAAAATTCAAAACCAAAATCAAACCAAACCAAACCAAAAAGTATCGATTTTTTTGATCGGTTTGGTTCTGATTTTTCGGGTTTATGAGATAGTGAATTTACAAGTGATTCTTGGAATTGCAAGTAAAGGGAAAGGGTTTTTGTCCTTGTCAAAAGGGAAAGGGTTGTTGCATATCTTCTTTTTGCTTTCTGTATATGTCATTAAAGTGCTTCTAAAAGTGGAAAAGCTAAGGTTTTTCTTCTTCCTAACTTTTAGGTTTTATTGTTGGTTGGACAACAAATGCCAAAAATAAATACACTGCAATAATTTTGCAGTCAATTTAATCATTTTTCCAATCACATGTTAAGTGGTACTTTGTTTCCTAAGTAAGAAATATAAGCAATTGTCAGGAATAGGATTGTATTTATATCCTATAACAACAATAAAATTTCTCCAGTGGGGTCTGGGGAGGGAGGCTGTGTCCGAGAGACCCTCAGCTCAAGAAGACGAAAATAGACAATAAAATGTATTTATATCCTACTATAAATAAAATTATTAATGAAACAATTTTAGATAAAATTGAATACTTTCGTTGTTTTTGCTCATACTTGGCTATTGAGGAAAACAGAATTGTCGTTAGGCAATTGTTAGTATGCATTAGAACAAGTGTAGATGTATTTTAGAATGATAGAACATACAAATTTATTTACTTTTTTAAGAACAGTATAAATAAATGAAGTGATTTTAAAATTATTAAGAACATGATAATAGAAGAAAAATAGGCGAAAATTAAAAAAAGAATAAAAGTGGAGCCGAAATTGATCATTCTAATGCATGTGGGCTAACTTTGAATAGCTTTAAACTTAGCAACTTATTGGTAATTTTTATTTTATAGAAATCTTTTGTTCTTTCTTTTTCCTTTTTTTAATAAACCAATTTTATTTGTTAACTCAACTACATGCTTCTGTAGAATTACATTTAGAAAAGCTTTTTAGTCCAAACACTACCAAAAAGAGTTAAATGCTAAATACAAAATAAACAAATAATAACTCCATCCCGTGCCACTTAATTAGAAGTAGAATTGTACTTACAGGAGTAATTTGAACTTTGGCAATAGTTGTTAAAATATGTTCTAGCCTAACTAGCAGTACTAAGGTCTCAAAATCTTTGATATCTTGATTCTAATCTTCCTCTAAAAAAAAAAAAAAGAAAGTAGTCCCTATGCGCGGGTCCGAAAAGGGCTATTTTATGCAATCTTACCCTGTATTTCTGCAAGAGGCTGTTTCTACGGTTTGAACCCGTAGCCTCGTGGTAACAAGACAACAATCTTCCTCAAAGAAGAATAGAATTTAATCATTATACTTGAGTAAATTGAACATTGCAATTATTATCATAGTACATATCCCCAAAATGTAGGATGTTGATTGTAATACTACATATTCATTTTTTTCTTCCAATGTATTTATTTTTTATCCTTACTTTTTTAATACGGTGTTATCTTCCACTAATATATATCGGATAACTGTGACACCACAGATAAATATCACCTAGTGTTTTTAATCCTGTGTATTTGTTTGTTTGTTACATTGTTTATTGCATGTATTTCTTCCAGCCTTGTATGAGTCCCATCCCATTAAATTTTTTGGATATCTTTAGAGAAGAAAAAGAAAGACCTTCAATCATTCTCTGATGTTCAGTTTGTTTTTGGGATTTTTACACAAATAGCCGCTCGGTTTTACGTTTACTTTTTCTAGCCGGTATACATAAATTATACACTGATTTAACATTATTTTATATATATAATTTAAGTAACTGAGTGGGCTGCTATTTAGGTTATTTCTTCTATGTTTTTTTTTGAACTCAGGCATATACGGAGCAATGGCTTTAGCAGGAAAGTTTATATGCTCAATGACAGGAATTGACTGCACAGGAGGGTTCAGTCCATCATTAGATGCCATTGTTGAAGGACTAGGATATGCAGCTCCCCCGATTATGGCTCTTCTATTTATACTAGATGTATGTTCAACTATTCCCATTTCTTTCCTGCCACAAACTGTAACAGTCCAGCCATTGGTGATGTTATCTGCTTGTGTGGCTTTAAAACACATTACTAGGGTCGTCTGGAACTTGCTTTCTTATATGTCAAGCATCCCTCTCGTGTTTTGTCGATGTGAAATTTGCCTAAGAGTGTTACAAAAATATATTTAACAGCATTCTTGGTTTACTTAACTTGCATTATTTTCTTTCATCCACATATGGCTTCACTAACTCTTAGAAAAGATGCAACAATGTTAACCTTATACTCCCTCCGTTCCAGTTTATGTGAACCTATTTCCTTTTTGGTCCGTTCCAAAGAGAATGGTCCTTTCTAATTTAGCTTAAATTTTCAATTCTACCATTAATGAGAAGCTTTTATAACCACACAAATATTCTGGACCCCATTCTGACATGTTTAAGACCACAAATTCCAAAAGTTTTTATTTTTTCTTAAATTTCGTGCTCAGTCAAACAGGTTCACATAAATTGACACGGGGAGTATTGTAGCCATTCTAGCTTTGTCCATCTGACATTCTTGGATTATATAACCGATGTTTTATAATAAATTGCGGTGTTTATAGGATGAAGTTGTGAAGCTATCACCTCATGCTCGAGCTATTAGGGATGTTGAGGATGAAGAGCTGCGGAATTTCTTTTATGGAATGTCACCTTGGCAGGTAAAAGATTTCTCAATTTCAGCATCAATAGTTATGTCACAATACAGTGAAAGGTTGATACTTAATGGATTTTGATGCAAATTTGTAGTTCATTCTGATTGTGGCTGCTAGCTCTGTTGGAGAGGAACTTTTCTACCGTGCTGCTGTCCAGGTAAGATATATATCATCCATATATAGCCTGCAATTATGAATTCGTTAGTCCAGTTGCAGCCTTATTTTTTGGATCAATAATACTCCATTTCACTACTTTCCTTCACGTGACTTAAACTCCCACCCGGTGTCAATATTGGTACCGTGCTTACCCTTTCATGTGAATCAGACATCTAACCTAGTGGTTGGAGGTGAAGGCAGCTCACCAACTAATCAAGCTTCTCTCTTCAGCCATCTATGTTAAATTGTACAAACCTTGCATTTCCTACAGTTTTAACTAATAATACATACTCTGAAAACCATTTGGTGAAATTTTCTGCACTTCAGTTTTCCAATGTATACATTTATTTTGTTAAAAGAAATAATAGAGAAAGAAAGAAGAATATAGAAAAACGTAGAAACCAGAAAAAGGCTTGAGGTGTGTAGAACACTTTATCAAAAGATTGGTTATCTGGCTCGAGGGATAGTGATCTTCGGGAATACAAACCACACTTATTTGAATGTGATGATTGTTGTCTTTTGCCTGATCTAATTCACTTTCGGAAGAGCCAACTACTTTCTTATTTATTGGAAATAATCTCAAAAAGGTTGAAATCTTTTCAGAATAGACATATCTTTTGTTAATAACCACTTTCATATTACAATCTGTCCAACAATATTATCAACAGACTAATTATTTTTAACCTGTCAAACTTAATGGAAATGCATGGCAAAAAAGTTATGTTTCTCATAAGTTATGTGATTCTTTCCTCCTTGCTCCTCTCTGATTATCTTTTAATTACAGGGAGCTTTAGCTGACATTTTCTTAAGGGGCAGTGATTTTGTGACTGATGCTAGAGGAATGGCGTCATTGGTACGTCGGATTCTATTTCTAGACATCCTTCTCCAAGTTAAATATCCAAAAAAATTCCATTGCTCTGACACATTCTGTTTCCTCAAAATGTAGACTGGTGTTTTGCCACCTTATGTCCCGTTTGCTCAAGCATTTGCAGCTGTAATTACAGCAGCTCTCACTGGTTCTTTATATTATATGGCAGCCTCTCCAAAAGGTCAGTTTCATAGGGTGCAGTTTCAAATCCTTCGTTGTACTCTGCTCGAACATGCTTAATCAGTTGGCTATTTGCTGTTTCACTTTCAGATCCTACCTATGTTGTTGCACCCGTGTTGAAGTCGCATTCAGGCCGTGAAGATCTAAAAAAACTCTTTGCAGGTTTGACCTCTCTCTTTGCTCATGACAAAAGCAAGACAGCTACCACTTGTGATGATTTGAGTCCAAGCCTTGTTAACATAATGTAATAAATCTGGGGATTCAGGATCAAGGCAAATAGATATATTTCTACAGCTGACTGACTAAAATAAGAGATAAAGTCTGTCCCTTAGTCTAGTTTATATCCACAGCTGACTAAATAAAATACAACTGTTGTGACCTGCTTTGTATCAAAAGAAAAGCAAAGGGTTTACGGCTTTACACAACAAGCAAAACGGCTTTCTATCATAGTTGCAAGGGCCAAACACACTCCTGATCATCGTTCTACTGCATCTGGCCTGTCCTCTAGGCACCTTTTATAGAAGGCAGGGAGCGTGATAATATACCCGCTTCTTTTGCTCCATTAGACCTTCTCAAGCTTTTTCATGTAAGAATAGCTTTCTAAACTATTTTAAATAATATGAGACCACCAAGCCTATAGGCTAGACTCTCCTGTCAAAAACAACGTACCTACTTCTCATTCTAGGTGTTAGCATGTAGTGAAGACTGAAGAGTCCCCTTTTCTGTATATTGAACTATGTTGCCCGAACTCTCAAAAAATGTAGCTAGGTGTGCATCGGATCATCCGTACAGGTGCGGCAGCATTTTGGAGAGTCCATGCGACATAGAATATTGAAGGGGGTTGCTTCACAAGTGTCACCGGAGAGACGGAGGAGAGATTGGATCAAAGAAAAATTAGTTTGAGTTGAGCTTATTGAGGCAGAATTGATTGATACGAGTTTTTTTTTTTTTGGGGGGGGGGGGGAGGGTAACCAATATCATGAATAGTTAGTAGTGGAAACGTCCAGCTCATATTTTTCATGTGTGTTAATTTTATCATCTACCTGAAATGTTTTGCAGCTTGGTACGAGAGGCGACAGATGAAGAAGATATACTCTCCGTTACTAGAAGCCATGTTAGCGCTTTACCTTGGGTTTGAATGGATACAGGTAACATAGATTTTCGTTTTATTTATTGGTACTAGTCATCAAAGGTTGTGTCGACATGAATTTTATGTCAGTATAGCTTATTTGTTCTTACAAATGCAACAGACAAACAATATTCTTGCACCTATAATCACACATGGGATATACTCTGCTGTTATTCTGGGACATGGACTTTGGAAAATCCACGATCATCGGAGAAGACTACATCAGAGAATCCAAACACTTAAACAAGAAGGTAATAATTCAAGAAACTTGTAAAGTGCCTACAATAGTGAGAATCGAATAATTAGCTTGCTTGCAGGAACCTTTTGAACTGTAATTTGGAGAGGTCGTAGTATTGTATAAATCTACGTAGCATATACGAATAATATAGGTGTATGGCTCAAGTCAGTTGTATACACTAGGCTAGCAAATATACACTAATACACACATCCACGTTATATTGTACCTCATGTAAATTCTGACCTTATATATGAGAAAGTCACTTCTTTCTTGGCTTCAGTAATTATAGAACTATTATAAGCCTCAGATTGTATTAAGACAAATAAATTCTGTAGTATGATAATACTTTTTCTTTTTTTGGTTTAACAATCTGTTATTCGTCACTGGCCGAGTGCCATATGGTATACAAATTCACTACTCATTTAGTGATGGTTTTGCCCTTTTAATCCAAATTTACTTGATTAACTTCTTTGTTTATCTAATTTGCTAATGTCAAAAGTTGAGTAGGATTGTTGTCTTCTTTTAACAAAGGAGTGAAAGGGAAAACACTGATGTACAAGATTATTCAGGAAAAAATAGAAATGGTCAATTTCTGTTAGTTTTGCATTTTCCTTCTCAATGAATAAGTTGAGAATATATTTTAGACGTTAGTACTTTTACTGTAGGTCCTATATTTCTAGGAGTGGATTAGCCTTCAAAAATTTATAAGTTTAGAAAATATGCTGAACGCCTGATAAGTTTTTGTTGTATTTTGCATAATATTGGCATGAAATGAGTTTAATTGAGCGATATAGTCAGCGAGATTTATAAAACCGATTCCAACTTGTTTCAGATTGAAAAGTAGAAATTGTTCTTATTCTTCTCAATGAATAAGTGAAATTACATATGCTTAAGAACATGAATTTCAGGTTTGCTAATGAACCAAAACAATTGTAAATCATGAAAATAGCACGTGCTAGCTAGTTTTCGGGCTGGTAATTGAAAAATAGTCAGTATTTGCAAAGTCATTGAAAAATAGCCATTATTTTGCTGAAACACGGAAAGTTCCAGCATAATATGCTGGATTATGGAGCTCCTGCGTATAAACTATCACCATATTATGTTGGAACTCTAGCACACGGAAAGTTCTAGTATAATATGTTAGATTATGGAGCTTTTGCGTATAAACTTCTAGCATATTATGTTGGAACTCTAGCACATGGAAAGTTCTATCATAATATATTAGATTATGGAGCTTCTGCGTATAAACTTCCAGCATATTATGTTGGAACTCTAGCACACAGAAAGTTCTAGCATAATATGCTAGATTATGGAGCTTCTGCGTATAAACTTCCAACATATTATATTGGAACTACAACACATTATGCTGGAATCTCATATGTAAAAAAATCGAACTCCATCATATTATGCTGGAATTTTTCCTGATTTTTAAGGGTATTTTTGTTCAGATTTTCTTTATATTTATCATCTGTTATACATTGAGTTCAATTATATTCTTAAAGTTAGCGAATTTTCACATATTTTTTCTTGTCATTAGCTGAGCTCTAGTGTAAACTCAGTAAAATTCACATGTCAAAATACGTCGAAAAGATCCAAATATAATTATCTATTTTGACTATGTATTAAAAAATTAAAATGAGATTGGAGCTCCATTAGTGTCAAAAGCAAATACGAGACTTTTTCTAAACGATATGGGGTAAAATTAGACCCCAAAGTATAATAAAGGATAAAGTTACTCAATTTCAAGCAGTATTGAATAAAAATAAATATTTTCCCTTTAGAAAATGTGTACCCTTGTGGTTAATTTTGAACGGATTTCTTTTATCCATATTCGATATTTTGAATTCTGTAAACAAAAAAAATGAAAAAGTTGTATTGATACCTCTATGTAATGTGTCAATTATTGTATTTCGGGATAAGCGGCTAATACTAAAAAAGAATAAGCGAAGCATCAGACAGCCTCTGTGCTCTGCCCGCTCATTTTCGTCATTTTGAATAAAAAAACATTCGGAATAATATATATATCATAATTTTTTGTTACAACCATGTGGTATTCAAAGTAAAAATTGCACGGGGCATCCTATTTGGTCGCCCTCATTTAATCTATACCCATTTTTTTCAAAAGTTTTAACTTGTCACCACTTTTTAAACAACTTCAGTCTCTTTCTCCTCCTCCTTCTCCTCCTCAAAGTTATATCCGCCCTCAACCGCTTTCTTTTATGGAAGCGCCGATCCCAATTAGTTTACTAAGAGGTCGTTTGGTAGAGTGTGTTAGAGAAAATAATGCATTTGTGTATTAGTAATGCTTTGTTTGGTACACTTTTTCAACATATGTATAACTAATACAAGCATTAGTTATACACTCTATTTGATATTATCCTATGTATAGCTAATACATAGAAAACCATGGCATTAGCTATACAAAGTCTATTAATGCATGCATTAACATGGTTAAAGACAAAATTATCCTTAAAGTCCCTTAAGTTAAAGAATATATAGGACATTTTTGTAAACAATTAAATTTCTTAAAAATTATGCAATGTATTTTAATTTTTAATACACCACACCAAACAATGCATAAGAAATAATCTCTGTATAACTAATGCTTGCATTACTAACCCATACATTACTAACCTCTGCATTACTAATGCACCTTATTTAACATTATTTTTATACGCCCTGCCAAACGACCCCTAAGTACATTAAAAGAAAAATAAGCAACTGATTTGCAAGGATTGAGTTGGAACATCAATTCAAAACTTCAGCAGGAAAATTTATATTGAAGTACCAAACACCACTGAGAAAGAATTTTACAATAATTGGTGAATTGGAAATTATGATAATTATTGCAGAATTTTCATACAATACGTCTCATTCCACTTATTTATTAACTTGATTAAGACTCGATCTTGGTCCAATGATTGCACCACCAGTGTTCATTATTCACTTGATTAAGACTCGATCTTGGTCCAATGATTGCACCACCAGTGTTCATTATTCACTTGATTAAGACTCGATTATACTTCTGGCGAAAGATGGCAAAATGAATGTTGCTTTGTGAATCTGAAAAAAAAAAAAAGACAAACGAAAACTTCAGCTCTAGAGCTCTAGAGCTCTAGAACTTCAGCTCGACAGTTACAAAACAAAAACTTTAGCTCTAGAGCTGAAGTTCGCCAGTTACAAACAAAAACTTTAGCTCTAGAGCTGAAGTTCGCCAGTTACAAACAAAAACTTTAGCTCTAGTGCTGAAGTTCGCCAGCTACAAAACAAAAACTTCAGCTCTAGAGCTGAAGTTTGCCAGTTACAAAACAAAAACTCGCCAGTTACAAAAACAAAAATTTCAGCAATTACAAACAAAAACTTCAGCACACTTGCTACTTTAGTCACGTCTACTAGAATGCTGAAGTTTTGCGTGATTGTTTTTGCTATTTTAACCCCGTATGCTGAAGTTACGCGAAAAAATGGGTACACTTATAAAAATTTTTTAAAGCAGGCACAAGTTAAAACGTGACTGAAAAAACGAATATAAATGCAAATGACCCGTATTCAAACGCGACTTCAACTTTCGTAAAAAAATTTCTCTAACTTCAAATACATATATTTTTTTCAATTTCAAGTTAAATATAGTGAAAACATTATTAAACTTTTTGTGTAAGTACAAAAAGTTTTCACGTGGGAGCGTGAAAGGAGATGAGAAAGGATAAAACTTTTTTGTTTTTTTATGAAAGTACAAAAAATTGAGGCCTTTTATGACAACTGAGCCATATGATCTCCATTGATTTATGTGCCACGTGAATTGCACGTGAGCATGTGTGCAGTCTGTCCCTTTGTACTTATGAGTTCGATTTAACTTTTTACCTAAACCCCACAAGAAAATAAACTAATATATTCGATTCAATTCAATTTTTTTTATTATTTTTGTGAAATTTGTGAGTGTGTTATGACTTGTCAATGATTTATTAGTTCAAACAAAGTTTTTAAGAAGTTCCAAATTCTTCAAAAATTCTAATTTATATGACACTATTTGATTGGATATACTGTAAAATAAATTATTAAAAAAATACTCCATCCGTTTCAATTTATGTGAACCTATTTGACTGAGCACGGAGTTTAAGGAAAGAAAGAAGACTTTTGAGTTTGTGGTGTAAAATGAAGCACATATATTTTGTGTGGCTATAAATTATTGCATAAAGGTAAATTGTTTCCAAATAGGGAAAGAGGTCATTCTTTTTGGCACGAATTAAAAAGAAAATAAGTTCACATAAATTGAAACGGAGGGAGTATTAAAAAAGATAGTTTTTCAGAGAAACTTAACATGTAAAAGTATAAATTTGAACATTAAAATAATATGATTTGTTTTGAAGTTGAAAGGTGAAAGCCATGGAGAAATGGTATTCAACATCTTGAGACAATTGAAAATAAAAATAGATTGTAGTCTATATTATATTAGAAGGAGGGTAGTTTGCAATATAGTTATGCTAAGTGGCGTCTTAAGAATAACACACATAGTAAAGCAAGACAAAATAAATAAGAATTTAGGAAAGACTTAGGATAAAGTTAAAAGGATAGGAAGAAAATATAATGCATTAATTTTGTATCACATTCGAAGATTTGGAAAATCTTCATTTTTAATTGGACTAATAAATGCCTAAAGTTATGGAAAATCCTATTTAAAACTACTTTGCCGCTTTAATTTTAGGCATTTAAAAGGGTTATTTGCAAAAAATATATATTTGAAAGGGTAACATTGAAAGAATTTTATTTGAAGCCTACGTGTTTTTTCTAATTTGACATTGAGTTTTTGTAATATTGTTAACTTCTCGGAAAATCGAAAAATTTATAAACCAATTTCTAAGAGAATATGTGTGTGTGCATATATATATATATGTGTGTGTGTGTGTGTGTGTGTAAAAATTATTACAACAAAAAAATACATTAATAAATAATATATTATAATAAAAGTAGCAGACGAAGATACAAATAATTTTAAGTTATGGGTAATGCAATACAGACAGGAAATTAAAAGAAAAAGAGAAAAAAATATGTACAAATAATAATTTCAATGTAGAAATATATGGAAGGATAAGACTTATTTGATTTTTTAGAAGAGAGTGTATATATATATATA